CGTAGGCATAATTGAAGTGTCATAGGGAAAGTGTGTAACTCAGTGCTAGGCCACGTGAGATGGTGTGCTGTGGTATTTGGAGCCAGTCTGTCTGGTGCCTGGCAATGTGCATGTGGTCTACAAGGCCAACCATTAAACTTTCAACTTTTTTTTTTTTTTGAGACAGGGTCTCACTATATAATTGAGACTGACCTTTAACTCACTATGTAGCCCAGGCTGGTCTTGAACTCACAGTGATCCTCCTGCCTCAGCCTCCCGAGTGCTGGGATTACAGGCGTGTGCCTCCACGCCTGGCTAAGCTTTCAACTTTTTAAAGGATGACTTATAGACATCCTTAGCCACCCTGTGCCCAACTGCTGCCGTATATTAGTTTTAACAACAATGAAAAAAAAAGTTAACCAGGTTTTGTTTAAATCGCATGGAATCAGTGTGTCAACATATCCTGCCTGCTTCACCACATGATAGCTCTTGTCATCACTGTCACCTCTATTATTGTCACTTCTGTCAGAGCTTCTGTGTTTGGGCTCATTCTGTCCTTCCCTACCACGGGTGAGGGAGCCTTGGAGTGGACCGGATAGCAAGAGAGGCCAGTTAGGGACGTCAGCCATTGCACAGGGCTGCATGCAGCTATGTAGAGTTAAGGAAGGGCCCGTCCCCTGGCAGCTTTTACCTTAACTTGTTGTCAGCTTGATGTGTCAGGTACTTTGAGTGTCCAGGAATTCAGGGGCCTATGGAAGCGGCTGTTGTGCCATCAGGTAAGAAATCTTACCCAGAGTCCATCGGTCAGTGGTCCTGGAATGGCAGTCCTGCACGTCTACCTAACACGCTTCTCTCCTCTTCAGCCCTTCAGCCTCGGCCACTTGCCACATCTCCTCTCCTCTCCCTGCAGCGAGCCTTTGCTCTTCCTTGTTCCCAAACTCAGCCTGTTTCAGTAGTCTTCTGAACTTCTAAAACACTGTCTGATCAGGTTGCTTCCCTATAGAGAGTGTTTTTTGTTTTTTGGTTGTTTTTTTTTGTGTACTGGGTATCGAACTCAGGACCAGGCAGGCACTGTGCCCCTGAGATACATCCCTGCCCCTCTATAGGGAAAGTTTTATACTCACTCCCACCTTCAGAGGAAGTCCAAACTCCTCAGCACACTCAGCCTCTAAAGTTCTTTCTCTATACACTGGCTTCTTGCTACTCTTCCCATCATAAATCACGACTCTCCCACTTGTCTCCCAAATCGTAAAGTTGGAAAGACCTCCGAGAGTGGATAGCGTACCTCAGACTGCTTGGGTTCAATGAGAAGATGACTTCTACCTTTTCCAGAGGCTGCAGGAAATTCGAGGTGGTAGGATCCCAGGCTGGACCCTCTGCCTAACTCTTAACCGCACCCGCTGTTGCTCTGTGACGTGATGGGGCACACAGGGGCTGTGAGGTGATGTGTGGGCAGGCCTGGCTTCCTTAGCCTTTGGTTCTGGTTCTCCCCAGGAGGCGTTCTGCAAGTGAGACAGTCTTGGGTCAGGATACCTCAGCTGGGTGCAGCTGCAGGCTGCCATGAGGGAGGCAGGTAGGCACGGTGGAGTGGTACTTCTGGGCATGAAGGGCAGTGCTCACACCCCAGGCAGAAAGGAGGGGGGATATGTGACATTCTGAGGTGACTCCAGTATACTCCCTAAGTGCAGAGGCCCAAAGACACAGATGTGCAAGTAACAAAAACACTGGCGATCATAGCTGACACTTCAGAGGGTTGCCACCTCCAGGCTTGCTGTTGATCTCCAACAACACACTCTAGGGAAGAAGACATTGAAGCTCAATGAAGTTAAGGGTTTAAATCCAGGATTAGACAGTTTCAAAGGAGATGCTCTTAGCTGGGTGTGGTGGCATATGCCTGTAACCCCAACACTCAGGAGGCTGAGGCAGGAGGATCGCTGTGAGTTCTAGGGCAGCCTGGGCTACATAGTGTGTTTCAGGTCAAGCTCAACTACATAGTGAGACTCTGTCTCAAACAAAAAACCAAAGGAGATGCTTTTGATCACTATGCTCTGTTCCTGCCTTGGAGGCCGGTTGTTGCCAGGGGTCTGAGATGGACATAAAAATAAAATTAGTGTATTCAATAATTTAAAATAAACCTTATAAAAGGATCCACATGCTGTCTGGATTCAGGTCCCTGAAGCGGAGGGTCTCAGACAGGTGGGACGTGGGTACACATCCCCGCAGGTAGGGCAGGTACCTGTGTCCATGCAGGAGTCGTGCTGAGGGACAGAGTCTGCCAGCAGATGCTCCTGTGCTATGGTGGCCCAAGCCTCCAGACTGACTCTGTCGACTTTGTCCAGTGGATGCTGCGTGTGGAGACCGTGGAGGGTAAGCAGTGAAGGGGAGGGGCTTCCGCACCCCCTATGGTTGCCAACCTGTCCCAAGTTCAAGCTCAAGGGAAGCTAGATGCCACTCCAGAAACAGCAGGCTGGGCAGCTCTGGGGGTCACTGGCCATGTGCCTGTGCAACTTGACTGCATCTACCCAAACCACTTCCTACCCTGCCTTGCTCCAGGAGCAAAGGTTTGAGGAAGCTCGCGTGTAAGAAAGGTGACCACGCATAGTCACACGTTGGTGGAAATTGGTTTCCTTTGCATTTTCAGCATGGATGTGGTTCAGGTGAGGAGATGCGTAGAAGAACCTCGTTTATGTATCCAACAGCCGCACAAAAATTAGCTGTGTTCCTTTCTGTTGTATTTTCTCAGATGTCTTCCAAACCTTAACCCAAGATGGCAAAGGGATAGACCTGCAGAAGCCAAGTGGTAAGACTCCTCCTCCCTCCCCAGCAGTCAGCTCGCAACAGTTTAAGTCAAGATGGTCATTGAAGTCCAGGCTTTTGTGAAGAAGTCAGGTTCTGGGGACGCTTCAACTACTGGGTAGGATAGTTAGCACTCTACTCATTGTGCTCCTCCATTTATGCAATATTTACTAAGCACCCACTCTGTGCCAGACATGTGTGAAGGGACAGGAGATGAACATAGCATAGTCCTTGGCCCTTGGTGCCCCATAGAACTGAATGGAAGTGTATGACCTCACGTGCGGTTTGCTGAGCTCCCAGTGTTTGTGTTCTGGTCACCTAAATGGCACATGATGATCCGCAAAACTTCAGCAGCACACAGCAAACCCTTACCTAGCCTTGAGCAGCATTGCCGGGAGTCATCATGTCTCCTGACTTGCTCATGCATCGGTAGGTTGGCCGGGGTCTCTTTGGGGAACATTAACTGAGGAAACTCTGACGAGGCTTGCCCTTGGGCGGGGGGACAATGTCAGAAGTGCAAGAAAGTGAGCTTAAGCACGCAGGGCCTCTAAGTCACCAAGGCTCTGCTGGCACATTGTCTTGCATCTTACTGTGTCATTCAAAGCAAGCCACATGGCCAAACTCATTTCAACAGATGGTGAATAGCCTCATCCTCTTTTAGGTCACTTGGCAGAAATAGCAGGGTGTAGACACGGAAATGGACGGAGACCTGGGTCCACCTGTGACTGTAGCAAAGACAGGGGAGCAAGGCTAGACAGTGTTTCACAAAAGCCTCGGAAGAATTGACGTTAAAGCTGAAACTTCAAGGACAAGAAAGCCAGCCAGGAAGAGTAGAGGATGGGAAAGGTCTAGGCTAGATGGAGCCATGTGCAGACCTGGGTAGAGCACAGAGGATGACAGGAAGTAGCTCAGCATGATTTGCAAGATGAGGGTCAGATCAGGCAGGACTTACAGGCCAGAAATAAACCTCACTGAAAGCCCAGCCATAACCTTCTCCCACATCATTTCTCATCTTTGTGACCTTTTGCCGAATCTCGTGCAGTGCTTTGCACAGTAAGTGCTTGACAAATGTTTGTGAATGGATGGTGTGATCAGCTTAGGAGAAAACAAATGCATATATGATACTGATTGTCTTCCCTGATCAGTCAAACTGCACGGGTTTATTGAGCACCTGTTATGCACTGGGTGTGGTGTTGTGTAGTTGCCTGCAAGGACATTTGAGTCTTGACTCAAATCACTGGCTCTTTTTTATTTCTGCAACACTTCCTTTATTTGAGCTGCTTAGAAAGGAACCAGTGAAAGCTGAGGTTTCTTCCTTGATCTCACATGACCATTTTATGAACTGATTTTATACAGAGCCTTAGCCTAGGTATCCCCTCAGCCACTCCCGCAGTTGGTGTCAAGGTGAGATTCAGCTGGGAGTGCAATGGCTAGAATATTCTGGGTCCATTCTGCGCTGCCTGGCCTCACACGTGATGGTGTAGGCCTCGTCTCTGGATCCCGGGCAATCCTGCTCTCACGGCAGACTCGTGAGTTGATTGCACCAGACAATGGGAGTAACAGCACCTGAAACAGGGCACAGCCCGAGCAGCATCCAACAAGGCGCTGTGCAATCAGAGAAGGAGAACAGGACTGGAGAGGAGAAGCTCTCCTTGTAACCAGCTGCCTGGCCTTCAGAAAAGTACATTAAAGCTTGGGGCTGCAGCTGCCTCATGGGTGAAGCGGGTGGGCTTGGCTAGGCTAGAAGGTCTGTCTCTAAGATTCCCCTCCAGCTCTGACCATCTCAGGCTCACTAAAGAGGAGGTAAGCAGGCCTGCAGGGAATGGAAGCCACCTTGTTGGAATTTCACTCTGGAGCTTTCTCTGACCCCACTGGTAATTTCAGTAGCCTCTTTGTCAGCAGCATCATTTTGATGTACTGGTCTCGTTTCTCCAGGGTTCCTCTCAATATGAATTAGAGGTACTGTTCATCACACCCACATAAAGCTATCAGATCAGTTGGCCCATAAATGTAAACCCATAGAATATGCTCTAGTGGATTTGTGCTGCCCAGTCGCTTTGCATACCTGCAACTGAGCTGGCACGAGCATGGTGAATGGAGTCCACGGGGGGAAAACTGACTGCAAATTGAATACACAATCAGCCTGTGGCTTGGCTGTCATCATTCATAGGCACTGTGAGAAGTTAAGGTTGATTATATTTCAGGTTGATTTATACTTACGAGCAGGTGGTGTGGTCCCTCTGGCTAAACCATTCATTAATGTGCCATCTCTCTGGCTCTCCAAAAGTGAGGGGGAGAAAGTCTCAAGTCAGGTGGGTCTGAGCTGATCATCGTTTCCTTTCCTTTCATGTCCAGTGGCTGAGGACGACCCTGTACGCCTGAGAAGGCCAGAGTTGGTCTGCCCTCAGTAAGGACTCTGCATGTGTCCCAACACTATGGAGACCAACGCTTTGTTCAGTCCACTTTCTGCTCTTCCAGACCATATACCAGCCATCACCCGCTCAGATGGGAAGATTTCTTTCCTGCAGGAAGATTCCATTCCTTTCAATGGCTAGTATGCAAAAAGGGAAGGCAGGGAGCAAAGATTCCTTGCATTTGTTAAATCCAGCTACCTTTCCTTGGGGCCACAACCTTGCCGCAAGCAGAGATGTTACCTGGTACGGCCTACACTGTCTGATTCCAGAGCTGGGGTGGCTGGCCTCTGCAGCACCTCCGTGACTGGCCGACTTAAATACCACTTAGGATAAGAGCCTCGGTTTCAAGGTCTGAAGAGGGAATGCTGTATCCTTAGATATCTGTAAATTGGCAGAGGTATAACCTGAAGTTTCAGTCATTTGGGGATGAGGCTAGGAATTTTAAGAACACAGGGAAAAAGCATTGGCAAGACCAGGTGGGCATGCTGACTCTGAGGTCTGAACTCACCATAGTCTTCAACTAATAATGTTGCAGATGACTAAATTTGGGGCACTGGTGGATTTTAAACACCTGAGTTCTCAAAGGCCTTCCTGCTTTTATCAGTCTGTTTATTTGACTGATGGACTATCAGATCCACTTCAGATCACAACTTCTCTGCGTACCTCCTGCAAAGAAGAACAATAAATCCATGCTAAATAGTCAAGTTAATTAGTGGATGGCTTATGTTTCTGATTTTTTGAACTGCTGTGATGTACCGTGTTTGTGGCAACCCCAGAACCTAGGGACAAAGCAAAGCAAGAGTCATTTCCCAAAACCCATGCAATTTGTAGGTTAGCATCTCGGAGCCATTCCTTACTCTTTCATTTACTGCTAATTCACCAGTTCTCACAAACATGTATATCTGGTTTCCAAGTCCACTGAACATTTAAGGAAGCCCCTGAGTGAGAACGTAAGTGTGCCCATGGGCAGCAGAACTGAGGAGCTTGAACAGCCCGATGGGTGGGCGCTCTAGTTGAGGAATGGAGCCATTCAAAACCTATTTTAAAGAGGTAGAAAGGTATTTTACTGTAAAAAAAAAAAAAAAAAAAAACTTCACTTATTCCAAATGATGAATGTAAAATGATGTGCCATAAAGTGCCAAGTACTTAAGGTCTTACTGATCTTATAAATGAAGATCACGTATTTATAGTTTTTAAACAGTATCTATGTCCATTCATTTCTTCGTATCTTTATCTTTCGATTGTGCCATTGTAAATATTTGTTTTAAAAAGCCACCGTCTTGGCCCATGAATACAGTTTTGGAGAATTTTGGACTAGTGGGAAAGTGATGCCGTTTTCCCATTTGTGAGAGATGACAGTGGGTATAGATGGATACATTTCCAAATTAAGTCAAGAAAGCCCCCATTCCAGCTTCTCGGTGGTCTGCACAGCTCTCCCATGTCTCTCACACATCCCCTTACTCCCTTGTGTCCATGCGTCGCTGCGGCCACTCAAAGGTGATATGTGCTCCACTGATCTCCTTCTGATTGCCCCAGAGCTGAGCACTGGAGATCAGGGAGCAGGGTCATCTCCCCTTCCCATCTTCTGTTATCCCAGACCGTGGGGCAGACAGACACCTGGGCAGAACAGGCTGGACAGGGGTCAGGGTGAAGTCCAGGAGGTGAACATCGTCAGTTCCACAAAGCCAAAAGTTTGCTATAACCCAGAACAGGTGGAAAGTGTACAGCCGAGGAAGGGGGAAATGTCCGTCTTCTGGGGTTGAGGCAGGGAAGATCAAGAATCTAGACGGTCACATTGTCCACAAGTCTAACCTAAATGGAATTACAGGACACTGAAGTGAATCCTTGTTCTAGGCTGTCAAAATTGTGTAGAAAAGAATGATCCTTAGAAAAGAACAGTAAAAAAAGAGGGCTTTGTCCCTTTTTTCTTCTTTATGTTTCGCATACAAATTCAGTCACTACAGGTAACTCTCTAGATTGCAGATGGGCTCCGACCAAGGCAGTCAGCAGCTGCCTGCAAATAGCATTGCTTTCCTGCTGCTGCCGTGCTGGGTTAGAGAAATGATTTTATCCTCCAGGACTTTCAGTCTGATGATTCCTCCATGAAATGTATGTATGTATAATAGAAAAAAAGGAGAAAATGAGCATCACAGGGTGTGGGTAGGTAAAAGTAGGCCAGCACTTCCTTCGGGGAGGGATAGGCTGTGTGTCCAGCTCCCAGGGAGCTCTAGAAAGAACACGCTTGGGTCTCTGGCCTCAGGTGCTAAGTTACCATCCTTTCTCCAGTGTCCTGAGGACAGAGAAGTACAAAACCCAACAGAATGAAGAGAAGGAGTGTCTAGGAAGGGGCATTCTAGCCGTGTGGCATTGGATCTGTTTGTCCATCTGTAAAATGGAGCCCAGAAAGCCTACATCCCTGGATCGCTATGAAGATTAAATAATGCCAGCCTGCTGCAGGTACTCAATACATGGTGCTACTGTTTTTCTCGGGTAATAAAGGTATTTTTTTTTTTTACTTTTTAAACTTTTTTTAGTGCATGTTTGTAGTACATAATTCTGGCATTCACTACAGGGCATCGTACACGTGCACAGCACACTTTGGTTTGTAAAGGCATTTTTATGACTATTATTTCTTTGTTTTTTATTGTTTTCTTTTTTAAAGGACACAGTCCCTCCTAGTCTTGTCACTAAAGCTCCTCTCAAGTCACACAGAGGAGAACTGTGCCCTCTGCTTACCTCTAACCTCAGGAGCAGCAGATTTATTCACCAGAGCCCAGGTTAACAACTAGGACTTTTCTGGACCATGCACCAACCAACTCTGGGACACTTGAGGCCTGACCAGCAGTCGCCCCAGAAACTCTGCTGAGCAATTTGGTTGCGACTTAGAACCGGCACAGTGGGAAGGCAATGGGGAGACTGCAATCTGGGATGCAGTTGCTCCCTGTGGATTTCCACTGTCATGAAGGTGCTGTGAATGTGGTTGGTTAACACGTGGCCCTGACCAGGCCCTGGACTGGTGAGGCCAGTCAGGCGATGAGCTTTCAACGCATCCATCTGTCCATCTGTCCAGACATCTAAACATCCATCCATCCATTTGAAGTCATTTATTAAGTTCTTTTTTTTTCTTTTTTTTGAGTTTATTGGTACATTTTAAGTATACAGTACAGTAACATTCATTATTGGGATCTTGTACCTTTACGTGACTGGTCTTGGTTCTCATTTTTTCCCCCTTGTCTGTGCCCTCCCTTCACTCCTCCCCTCCCCATTTACAAACACTTTATTTCCATTTTTTCATTTTGTAATTTTTTTAAATTTCCCTTATTACCTTTCCCCTACCCTTCCCATTTTCCCTACACCAAGTCATGTATTAAGTTCTTCATAGCGGGCAGGCACTGTGCTAGGCCCTGGAGACACAGCTCACTGTCTACTGGCTGACAGATGGTCTATGGGTGATATGAGAGGGGACTCAGAGCACTGTGGAAACAGGACAGGCATCTTAGTCTAGCCTGAGAGGCTCCAGGAGGCTCCCCGAAAAGTAGTGCTGAGCCATTTTCTGAAAAGAAGCAGTAGACAGGAAAATAAAGGGAGAAGGAGGCTCCGGAGAGAGGATACTGCCTGTGGCAGAAAAACCCAAGAGACAGAAATGAGCAATGGAATGGTGCCTGGAAAACAGCAAGCGGCGCAGAGGAGCTGAACTAAGCGTTGTTGCGAGGATTAGAAGCAGGAACACGGCCGAGCGGGCAGGCAGGGGCTGACCCCCGCAGTCCCTGTCACAGGGTTGGTTGGGCCACTACGCTGAGGGGCTGAGTGTCACCCAGGAACTCTCAGTCAAGCCAGGAGAAGCCCCACGTTCTCCTTTCCACTGGCAAAGCGAAGGTGCTAGCAGGGTGCAGGAGCGCCGAGCTAAGTGCCTGCTGGCTCTTGCTTTAGGGGGCTTTGGTCAAATCAACCTTTCTAACTCTCTCAGGCTTACTGAGGAATTGGGGGCAACAACGTTTCCTCTCAGGGTTCCTGAGCAGAAGCGGCATTTTTGGCTTTCCCTCGGGGGAGGGTTGCCGAGGCTGAGGCCAACGCTAGATGGCGCGCTGTCCCCACACGACGGCTCCCTCACGACCCGGAACATCTGCGGACAGCTTCAGCTGGGACCGGCCTGAGAAGCCCAGATTAATGCCGTGCCGCCGCTGCCCGCCAGACTCAGCCCAAAGGCCAGCCGCACGGGGACTTGCTCTCCTCCCCGGACCTCTTTTTTCTTCTGCTTAGTTTTTAGTTGATGGACTGTACTTTATACCTTGCATTCATTTCTGAAAAACAGCACACCTCTCATTTAAAAGCTCGTTTTGAATGCGTAGCCATAAGGGACAGAGCCGCGCTCTGACGGCTCGCCCTCGTGTCGCAGGGCCTGGCTGGATGCTTAGCTCACGGTAGTATTTATGAATGCTGTAAACAAAAGGCTTGTAAAGTCGATGTAATCCAGGTGAATCCTGTCATTTTAAAATTCAGTCGCTGTTCTGGTTGCTAACTGAAAAAATGTCAATATATACGATTTGCTTAAGGAGTTAAATGACATCTGTTATGGTTTATAGGTGGATGCCCGCCCAAAGCCGAATGTGCTCCTAGGCCCTGATTGGACCACAGGGGGCGCTATACTCGTGGGTGGATTGGTCCGCCCATGGGCCTATAGCCACATGTGCTGTTAGGAGGAGGGGCCTGCTCAGAACAGCTACTCTGTGGGCGTGGCCTGGGAAGGGCCGTTTCCCTCCCTGGCTCACCCCTTCTCTCTCTGCTTCCAGGCTGCCAGGGGATGAGCAGCTTTTTCCTGCACCACGCCCCTCTGCCCTGCTGTCTTCTGTGAAGCCCTTTGAACATGGACTGAAACATGAGCCCAAGTAAACATCTCCTCCTGTAAGTGCTGGGGGTCAGGTATTGTGTGTCCAGAACAGGAGCTTCTTTCTAAAAGGGCCTCTCTGTCGCCACACAGGGTTGGGTGTCACGGTGACCCCAGATGCCAGGCCCTCGCTGAAGGGGCTGCTACCTTCTTCCTAGCTTGGGCATCCTTCTAGGTACTTGGGTAGCATATTCTGTAATACGTCTAGACTTGGTTCTCCTAGGAGGATTAACTGGCGGGGTGAAGTTCCAGAGCCCTTTGCCTTCAGGCTGTGAGTCACGGAGTAGATGCTCTGGCCGGAGTGGGAGGCAGTGGTCCTGGGCTAGACCCAGGTTGAGGGGAGGTCAGGTTTGGGTGGCCTTTGCCCCTCATCCCACTATGGGGACCCATCTGCACAGAGAGAGCCCCACACGCTGAGGCTGACCCCAGGCCAGCTTCCGTACTCATCCTCATCCTCATTTTGAATGGGCTTCCTTGGTGCAGCTTGGTTGGTTGACTCACTAGAACATTCCTTCCTTGGACCCTGTCTTCCTTGGCGAGGAAGAAATCAAAGATCATGAGAGAGGCCTGCTCCGGGGTTTCATGCTCAGAGGAGCATGGTATTCTCATCATGCAGCCACTCCTGTACTGGGCGGATTAGCTCGTGGTCGGGGCCAAGCCACAGGGGAGCCTCCTGTGGCTTCCCATGCAATATAATGACCATGTGGTCAGGCTTGCAAGCAAGGCCCAGAAGGCCCCTTGAGATCCCTGTGCAGACCTGCCCAGGGGAGTGAAATCCTTTCTTGAAGGGGCTGACTCACACTTTCAGGAGTGACGGTTTCTTTAGATCCATACTGTCCCCATGTCAGGAGCCAGCTAAAGAGGTGTGCATTTTTCACTCTGTTGTGAGGATTGGGGCCCCTTGGGGGGGCGGGTGAAAAGGATGCAGGGGTGGGCTGGTGAAACAGGAAACACACTGACCAGAAGCCAGGGGTCTTGTCCCGTGTCCCCTCTGCCACCACTGCTTGTGTGTGCCTGTGGCCTTAGGGAAGTCACCGTAGCCTGGCTCTCGGGGTATTCCCCGAGTGGGGTTTGGGGTAGGTGTTCACTGTCCTTTCAGACAGACCTGACCTCATGTGCCTTCACTGGACTACTTGGGAATGTTGGATTCTCTCTAGTAACTAAGAGAAACAAACAAAGAAAAGGGCTAGTTAAAACTGAGGGTAGAAGTGAATAGCTTGTGAGACAAGATAAAGAAAGTGGAGCTCACGTGTTTGAACGTAGATAGGAGGAATGAAGGAGCTGACTAGGCACTGAATATTTGTGATTTATAGTAAATGTATGTGAGGCACACGAAGCACCCAGTATTCACGATGTGCTGACCATACAGAAGGACACTTGGTATTCAATCAGCCACCCATTGGTAATGCCATTATGGCCCCATTCAAGCCCCTAGAATGCAGACAACTGCCAGTGGCTCCAGCACACTGATCAGTAGGATTAGCTGTGGCCAGCCACACCTGTCCCATGTCAGTCTGATGGGGCTTATGCATGCTTGGACCCCAGAGCCTTGCTCACACCTCAACTCAGTGCTCATAACCACACCGGCAGCAGGAGGGGCTGACACAGGAGCATCGTGCAATGCATGGTGGAAGGTGGTCCTTCCACTGCTCCTGAGGAGGGTGCCCTCACTCTCTCTCTCTCTCTCTGCCCTAACCATCTGAGCCACTTCCCCAGGTCTGTGAGCTCACCCTTGGGTGACTAGGACAGCTCACTGGAGGGGAACTTGAAGGCTACCATTGCAGCTGGAGATTTCCCCCAGGACATTTGGGCTAGAACTGGGGAGCTAGAGCTGGAGCAGAAGAACTAGGCTTCAAGCAACCTAGCTGACTCCTGAGATGTGGGTGCTGTGTCTTTGGGGGGTGGAGGATGTCTGCTGCTCCTCTGAGGAGGCCTCTGAGTCTGTCCCCACCAGCCCCGATCAGAGTGAGCCAGGTCCCAGACAGCAAATCAAGCCTGTCTCTGACTGAAAGCCACAGGCAGCCTCCCAGGGATGCTGTGGCTCCCTCCCCTGGGGCTAAGGGCACAGAGCGAAGGGAGGTCAGCAGCCAGGAGAGTCTCACAGCTTCCCAGCCTGATCCATACTCTTAACCCATCTCCGTCCCACCTTTCTGTGGCCTCCAAATGTCACCCATGAGAGGCAGCTCTGCCTCTTTCACTGGCTGTGTGACTTAACCAAGTCACCTCGATTCTTTGTGCCTTGGTTTCTTCTTTAGGAACGAAAATGGCACCTAACAAGGTTGTAGTAACAGCAGATATTTACTTAATAGCACTGAGTTCAGGTCAGATAGGTAGTCTCATGTTTAATAGCATTCATAGACGTTTCTTGTTTTCTTTTTCAAGGCACATCAGAACCTGGTATGCAGAAAGGACAATCCAATTCCAGTCCTTTTGGAGATAGTCTGGTCGAGGGAACATACAAGAGAACCAGCCCAGCATAAGGTATGAGAAATATACCCAGTGTCTTTAGACCAGCCTGGGAAGCCTTAAAAGACTTTCCTGGAGGATGTGGTACTTGATTGGAAAGCTCAAGCAGATGTTCCTGGAAGGAAGAGCAGGGAAAGTGACAGAGCCACAGGCGGTGGATGCACAGGACAGTGACAGTGATTATAATGGCAGATGGTTGAAATAGGGTATAATGGTTGGGAGATCTTGCTCTGGCAGCGTGGCAGAGGAGGGGACGCGTTGGCAGGTGTAGAAATGGGAAGAAGCCTGGTGGATGTTCAGGACCTACGAAGAGACTTCCTCCCAGTTCCTCTCCTCAGGATTTTTTAGAATCCAGAGGGCCCCGGTAGGTGTATTTCCAGTCAAGTGTGCTGCTCATCCCCACCCTCACGGTGGCGCGTTCCTCCTCTCTCAAAGCTGAGGTTGAGAGTTGGACAGGGAAGGGGCATTTCTGGGCCAGGTAAGGAGAGAGGCAGCCTCACCAATCCCAGCTGCACCCCGCACCCCCCGGCCACTCACTCTCAGGAGAGGGTTAAGGAATGGAAGGAAGAAAAGAGAAGGAAGAAGAAACTTCACTGTCAATTTCAAAGCTGCTGTTCGTTTCTCCCCCCGCCCTCGTGCCCCATCTCAGTAGGAAAGCAGTTTTATCCCATCCATCTTGTGAAAAGAAACAAGCACCACAGATTCATCGTGCACGCACACACACGACCAAAACTGGAGTATTCAGCGAACAAGACCAGGCATTTCCACCCAGACTCACCCAATTCAAGAGCAGGCCTTCTGAGTAGGGCCTCTGAAAGGCTTGAGAGATGCCTAGGAGATTAGTCAGGCACATTTCCGGTTGTGTCTGGTGGGTCGTGAGTGTGTGACCTCGGGACTAGGTCTGGTTTCTGGCCCCTCCTCTATGGCTCATCCTCTCTGATTCTGCTTCCTGGATGCCATGAGGTGAGCAGCTTTTCCTCCGCCATGCCCTATGCCATGATGTTTGTGCCTTGAAACCAGTCAAAAACAGACTGAATTCTTTGAAACCATGAGCCAAAAGTAGAAACAGAAAACACCCCAGTCCTTTAAATTGTGGGTGTCAGTAATTTGTCCCAGTAACGAAAAGCTGAATGATAGAGAATCTAACGAGCATTTGAGGGTGCTGTTGAACCCAGGACAGGAGTGGACTGGAGGCTCCTTGCAGAGGAAAGCATCTTATTGGTGGACATTAATCTGGGTCCAACCAGGAGAGAGACACCATACAGGAAGTTGTGTAGGAAAGCTTGATATAAGGGCTTTTCAACTATAACAGGACATGGGAGTAATGAGGGTAAAACGTAATGAGAGAGCTAAAGCATACAAAAGTAGACGTAACAGGCATCTACCACCACCCCTGGAGCTGGGACAGAGTGGCCGTGGACAAGCCCAGAGCTGACCCAGACTTTATTAGACAGGACCTGCCGTGGCTCACTGAGTGGCGGCGGAGTCACTGTGGCACCTACCGGAAGTCCGTGCTAGGGTAGCAAGGGCAGCTAAGGACAGCGGTCCACGGAAAGGCAGCTCACCAGCGGCACTCAGCTACTCAGCCGCTTGCTCTGAAAAGTACGAGTTCCTCACAGAAAATGTTGAAAGGACATGTATGCAAGGGCTGAGGTTTAATAAAATTAATCATTTTTACTGCCTCACTGAAGACATTCGTAAGCGAAATTGATTTTTTCCTCCTTTATTGCTGCAAGCATGTGGCAGTAAGGGACACAATGGCGCGCTGCTGGGTCTGGTGCCACTGCCTTGATGGGCCCCACGATTGCTTTTGCACCTTCAGCCTAAGGGTCAACACTGCCATAAAGGAAAACAGCATCCGCATTGTTATTAAAACAGTTTTGATCCTTTCCATGGTCGATGGAGGATGCCCCTTTACAGTAGCCAGGTTTCACATCTGCCCACTAAGAAAAGCCACCTGTGGGCACCTGGAAAAGTGAACAAGTCCTTAGACGGAACACAAGCCCGAGCTGCCATACTACAGCCTCTCTTGTTATTAAGTATTTGTGTTGCCAGTGCCCTTGCCCCTCTGGCCAGCCCTCTGCAAGCAGCGGAGAGACCTGCTCTCCAGGACTTCCCTGCTAAAGCCTGCATTGCTCTCACCCATCTGCTGGTGGTGGCTGTCACGCCACTTTCTTCGTTTCCACCACTGCAATCTTGTGGCAGGCCACACCACACCACCTGGGTTTACAGGTCGCTTTATGTTGTGGCTGCTTCTCAGTGGCCCTCTCCCAGCCCTCTCCCATGGCACAATTTACTCCTGGGAGGATTTCTTTTTAGACCGTTAATCCCTATCAGGAGTGCGGCTTCCCATTAAGCCTGATCAAACAGCTTCCCGTAACCTGCCATCCCCTTAAAGTGCCACTTGAGTGTTGATTCATTTAACTAAGAGCTGCTGGATGAATCTTGCTAGGAGCCCATGGGGGTTACATAAGAACCCTTTAAACTAAAAACAATGGATGGCATGTAAGGGACTTAGGCAGAGCCAATGCTTTGAGCTTAGGCGTTTGGGATGTTGAAGCTGAAATCTTTTCACATCCCCTTATGAAGACTGTTGAAAGAGGTAGACAAACATTAAATGTTGTCAATAAGGCACTTAAGAGCTAATCTTTAGAAGAAATAAAATCTTATCTTTAAACCCTAGATCTCTATCTTCCAGTGTGATTTCCCCCCCTTCAATTCCCACATTTAGGAAGTTTCCTTTAGGGGTTATTTTTTTCTCTCTCTCTCTAGCTTGGTGTCTGTACTATTTGTTAAGAGCTTTTGCTGCAAAAACCTATTCCTAAAGGAAGTGGTCTTCCAAAGACTAGTTATCTTCAAAAGAAAAAAAAAGGAGGCGCATGACTTAATAATGAATCACCTGGTTTAAAAGAATGGTCTCACTGCCAGGATCCTAAATCAGAAGCACCTGGGAAGACTTTAGACCCATAGCTTCCTGGATTGCCTTCTTCTTGTGAACACACCTTGTGTCCCTCACTTAGATTATGGATGATCGTGGGTTCCCTTTTAGAGTGCTTATTTCTGAGGTGTACACGGAGGCACCTTAACTCACAAAAAGCTCCTTCAGCGATTCTGCTGTTTGCAAAGACCAGTGTTTCCAAATTTCTCAGGTAACCTTTCTTGACCAATCCTCCTTTCCTGGATTCCTCTCCAAGATATTCTCCAATTGTTGCTCCTCCACCTAGGACTTTTCTGCTGGGTTCAAATAGAGATCATGAATCAAAGTGCAGCTCTGCCAGCATCCTGATGTCCCTGGGTAATGCTAGATGCCCACATTTGACACGGCCAACTGCTGGTCACTGCCACTGTCGGCCATCACCATCCAGTGCCAGCTTGTGCTAGACGGCTGTAGGTCAACTCTGCCGAGTACTGTGTCTGTTTCTGGTCTTTGTTGGCTGCTGATCTCTGTGGCTTCTTGGTGTTAGCAGCTCTGTGCATTTATTCATCTTCCTTTGGAAACTGACCACTCTATCTGTACCACTGAAGAGAAAAATCCGAAAATTAAAGACTTTCAGAGACCACACTACTCTCACAAGCAGGTTCTTAGGAACACCAGAGTGAGTATTATAACAGGGCCTGCACTGTGCTACGGTGAGATAGCATATAGGAGAGAGCGCTTCTAGACTAAAACCTTAGAACTGTCTGAGAAGTGCTATTTATGTAGCAGCTTGAAGGCCTGTTTCAGCGAGGGTGAGGGCTGAAACCAGGGAGTCTTCTGGAAGGCTTGCTGTGAATGTTGGGTATGCAAATCAAGGACCTGGATGCCCCCTTCCTGTGTATACACCTAGCCGCTGTAGGGTGCCCTCTCTGGTCTCAAAAGCACAACAGTATTATCCAAAGTGGCTGGAGTAAGGAGGGCCACCACAGTGCCTGGTTGTACACATGTTGGAGCAGGAAACACTCCAGGTAGCCAGGGAAGACACTGAAGTAAACTATTCCAGTCCTTCCAGGTGCACGGAGAGGTAAGGGAAGCAAAGAGGAGGGCCAGGCCACACCTACCCCCTCCAGCCAGCCAGGAAAAAATGAGTCAGGGGTCCATCCTCACAGTCAGGGTTCCAGGATGTACCAGATTGCCTAAAATGAGCAGCTGGCAACCTTGGCTTCTCGAGGTGATGGGAACATCGGGTAGTCTGCACACTTCTGCAAACTTCCCTCAGTTCTACACTCGCAGGCTTTCACTTTCTCCAGGGCTCCCCAGCCCCACAAACACATCTAGAGATGTGGAATCTGACCTGGGGCAACATGTGTACAGAGAGTGAAGGTGTGAGCATTTGATGTACCGATGCTTGCATACGCATATTAATTTTAGGGTCTTCATCTGCTTTGGGAGACAAATCACAAACATATCCATGAATAACCACGTCTGTTATGCAAATTGGTTTCCGTCTGCTGGTCTGTTGAGAATAATCTTCCATAATTACGACAGTTATTTACTTATGGGCGATCAGCTTTCTTTACCACCTTCTCCCTTCACCAGAGGGCTCCCTCCAACTGCTGCAGGAGCCCAAGTGACTGGGCCTGCAGGTACCAGGATGGGGAGAATCTGCAATACCTTCGGCCACGGAGTGGGGGTTCTGCTCTCCTGTGCTTCTCTGTAGTAAGGGTCTAGGACACAGTCCTCAGGGTTTCACAGCTAGTTGGGGAAACAAGTCTTATAGAACCAATGGAGGATAATTAAGCCCTAAACGGTGTAGTCCTGCTTAGAATCAGTGCAGTAAGTACCCAGCAAAGGAGACAGGTGTGGCCCAAAGAATTCTGAGCTGCCTTCCCTGAGAGGGACTTGCCGGGGGCAGAATTCCTGGAGAGGCAGAAGCAGCCTCCCAGCCCGGAAATAACTGACATGGACCGAACCACTATCCTCTGACCTTTCTCATAGTGAGCTCATTTGAGACCAGATGAAGCGTGATGAGGCAAGTAGAGAAGTTGAGGCAGGGAGGGATTAGACTGCTCACGGTAACAAAACCAGGAAGACTGAG